TGCTATGACAACGGGCAGCTCACTGATGGTTGATGGGGGATTTCTTGTCTCCTAACATGCATGACACCTGCATTTCACATCTGGCCTTAATTTTCATACTAGTACTACATAGCTGTAAACTGGGTAGAAAACAATGACACAGACCCAGTCTTGCTGGAGAAGAGAGTCAGCAGGGCTGGAACCTGTATGAGAAGTGAGGCAGAAAATTACCTTTAGAAGGCTGCTATATAATAAAGCTCACATATGCCGTCATGGAGAATGTTTATTGCACCAAATAAGGTTTTATCTTGTCACTCTACATGATGATTAGAAATTGGACCTGTCTTTCTTCCAACCCTATTCCCCCCCCCCAACCCTTCAGAAGCTCTCCCTGTTCCATCCAAATCCATAGAGCCCGCCTGTACTTTCAGTGGGAAGGGAAAGAAGTTAGCAGACTCCTCATTGCTTCCTTTGCTGTCTTTAGTAGAAAAAAAACAAAACAGAGGCAACAACCACAGCCCTGCTCTGCAGAGACTGGATTGAGGGGGGGAGGCCCTGCTAAAGACTGACAGGAGGGAGCAGCACCACGCTGGCCAAGGGTGTGCACACACAAAAAGGCAAATACATTGATTGCACAGAGCTGTTTCACTCACTGAGTTTGGCTAGTACCCAATAAAGCACCTAATGATTAGTTCCTCAGCATTGTATCTTGTTTACTTTGACCCCTTCCAGGGCTGGTTATGATTTCTTCAACAGTCTCAGGCACGTATCTGCTAGAGCACCAATTTGTTAGCTATTCGCCACACTAGGCTGGGCAAGGAGACCCTACCCCTCTCCCAGCGGCTCCTGCCCTTCAGCACCATTCATGCCAGCTCCCTCCCCACTCCCACAAAGGATCTTCACCACCCATTTCACCTGCGGGTTGAAACCAGGTGTTTCCAGGACAGGATGGATGTCTCAGCCCTTTCAGCTTGGAGTTCAGGAGAGCCAAAACAGCCTGTTGTCCCAAGGAGCTACCTTGCCTTCCCCATTGTACCTCCCCTGGGGGCTGTACGGCCCCCAGCTAGGCTCCTGCCCCCGCTGCCCCTTCACATCAACACTGACGTTAAATCAAAGAGACATTTAAAAAACACTGACTTCGTACATGATGAAGGGCCCTACACATCCCAGCCCCCTCCAGAAACACCCAGCTAATATGCAATCTGTCAGAGGACGACAACATGCTGAGCCAGCACCTGGGCCACAGCCCTCAAAACACGGTACACTTTTTGCCGGGCTTCTTCACAGGCGGTGGGCAGAGCACAGCCCGGATGGCTTCATCAAACACCGTCTTCAAGCCCCGCTGCGTCAGGGCAGAGCACTCGAGGTACTTTACCGACCCTAGGGGAAAGAGAGCTCCAGCTCAACCATTCCAGTCCTACCAGGACATACTGTCCCTCACCCATTCCAAAATAAAAAGCTCAACGCCATGGAAATCTGCCAGCACAAGAGACTCACCGATCTCCCGCGCCATGGCCAAACCTTGGGGGTAGGTGATGGGGGCCAGTTTCTTATCACGTAACCTTTCAATGGTGTCCTTATCATCCCTCAAGTCCAGCTTGGTGCCCACGAGGATGATGGGTGTGTTTGGGCAATGGTGTCGGACCTCAGGGTACCACTGAAACAGAGAGGCACGATAAGAAAAGAAGCCATAGCAGTAGATGCAACCATGAGGATGCATTCAACTTTAGGAAGAAAGTTTTTACTACTATCTGACATAGTGGCAACACCTGAAGAGTATCCTTCTGCCTACAGTTCTGAATATGCTTTGCAGGAAGAGATTGGTGCAGATGTAATAATGAAGGCAGAGACATCATCATGACAGGCAGTGTCAGCCAACTCTGCACACAGTGCTTCCCTTAACCGCATTTTAGCTTCTAGGACATCCCTTACCGTCTTTAAGATGCTGATTCAAAAAGGCAAAAACTTGGGCAAAGAAGTCACGAATTAAAAGTAGGCCCCTCTTAAAACCTGCAGACTATGACCTTCCCTTGTCAAAACGTGACTGCTAGAAATTTTGGGCTTGTAGGTGTGGTGCTGGGTGGGGCAGGGGACTTCACTGGTTCCTCCCTTCTACTGTTTCACCCAGGAGAATACTTTACCTTGGCTCTGACATTCTCAAAGGAGGCTGGACTCACAAGGGAGAAGCAGATCAAGAAAACATCCTGTGTGGAAACAAGAGGGTCAGCTGTGTAGAAAGAAACAGCTAGAGATAATGGAGGGAGCCTCACAGAGGGCAACCTCCTCCCATGAGCAAGGACTGGCTGCCAGAAATTTTTCCCCATTAAGGGTGCTAAACTAATTCAGAGAGGGAAGGAACGGGACTCTGAGTGCATGACTTCATCTTCTTTTACAACACTGGGCTCTGCATCTTAAGAGCCTGTGGCCACAAAAGTCTTAACCATGCTATGGGCTTCCACCCTGGTAGAGGGGCCACGTAGGAATTGCTACAGCCAGGGAAACACCGCTAGTGCAGCCCAACAGCGAGCTGTGCCACCGAGAGAGAATGGGAATGTGGAACGTGGCTCAGCTGCACAGCACCCCCACGCCATTCCTTTCACTTGAGCATAACTGTTCAAACACCATTACACAGCAAGGACAAGAATAGGGCAATCTCTTAGGAGAAATTCAGTGCGATACTTCTTAAACAACCAGAATTATGGTTACAGCCGCAGGAACTTAGACTTTCCTCAAAGGAAAGAAGCCTAGCTGTCCTTGGGAGCCTCCCTGCCCCCAAGAGGGAGCAGTTACAAGCCAGTCCAAGCCCAGCACTCACCGTCTGTGGATAGGAAAGAGGCCGCAGTCGGTCATAATCCTCTTGCCCTGCTGTATCCCAGAGGCCTAGGTTCACTGGCTTTCCATCTACCATGACATTGGCAGAATAGTTATCAAACCTGCCAAGGAAGAGTCCCCATCAGTGACAATCTTCTTGTGACCCACACATCTCTCTACATGAAATCCAAGGGGACAGTGAATCATGAGAGGACACTACAACACAGTTCCAGTGGGGATAGTCGTGCCTTCCTCACATACACAGCCATGCCACCGGCATCCTCCTCGTGTGTGAAGTTCATAGTCTGATTTGGGACAGCCTTCTCCCCACCTACAAACCCAGCGTTTACAGACACGCGCACACAGAGCAAAGAGCAACTGAAGCCTGAGGCCATTACTCACACAGTGGGGATGTATTCTCCAGGGAAGGCATTTGTGGTGTAACTGATCAGCAAGCAGGTCTTCCCTACAGCTCTGCAGAGGAGAAGAGTGACAAGCATGAAGAAGGGTACAGCAGAAAGCACTGTAAAACTCACCCTTTTCCCCACCCAAAACCAAGATTAGGTAAAAAGTTATTGTGAGAGAAAACAAGCCTGCAGCAGGCTGGCATTCTTTAGCTGTCAGGGACCAGGCCTGCACTCACAATGTGCGCCTCGCCTGAGCGCTCACCCGACCCTGCTCTCTCCCACTCCTTGTCCCCACACTTGCAGCCTCAGCAAAACAACAGGCAAAACATATTTGTTCCAGAACCAAAAGAGAGGGAATAAATTAAGGTTCTGTGCTGGGCTAAACACATCCATAATAATCTAGCAAAATGGGTAAACAGTGAGGTGAAAAAACATGCAGCACACAGAATTATTATTCAAGCTCCTCAGATAGAGGAAGTCAACGTCAACAAATACAAAGGGGAGAAAATAGGTACCCATAAACAGAAATTAACTTTAAAATGACCACTGTCAGTTTGGAAACTGATGTTGGCATCAGCATAATCACTGAAAATATAAACTCAGGGCTTTGCTGAAGGCAGGTGGGATTGGTCAACCCAGTGATGGCAGGTGGCAGGGGCTGGGCCTGGCTGGCAATGGCAGCAAGCATACAAACTTTAATTACCCCTGTAGGATAAGGGAAAAGCTGAGTTACAAGAACAGAAGAGTACCAGGAGTGTAAACAACCCATTTATCACTGCGGAAGTTGTGAGCTGCAGAGAACCTTCCAGAGATACAGATGGAGAGCGACAGTGAAAGCTGTGCCTGAGCAAAGCTGAAGAGCCAAGAGACATGGGTGTCCTCTACGCAATTCTGTAACCAGGGCGACGCAAGGGAAGGCTTCAGGAGTGAGCAAGAGACTCCAGAGGACCCCACAGTCCTGCGCCAGGGTGACACAAAGCACAGCAAGAACCACTACAGTAATCCACCCAGCTTTTCCCCCGGACCAGGTCCCTCTCTTGGAGAACAGGGAGGTTGTGTAAAGAACCACTACACTGACGGGGCCCAACTTTCCTCCTGAACCGTGGCCTCTCTCCCACCAAACAGGGAAGTCACGTAATTCCCACATATTTATGATTAAAGTGTTTTGGTATCCAAGTTCATTCAGTCTCTGCACTTGTCGATTTGGTCTGAAAGCAAAACACTGGACTGCAAACCTTCAGCTGAAGGCCATTTCCAACATGCTGCGCTCCCCATTGTCGCCCTCCCCTCCGCAACAAGGCTGTGCTGTTTTGTGGGTGGCCTGCTCTCCTGCCCCCCTCTTTTGCCCCCACAGGCTAGAACCTGGAAGGTCTGGCTCCAGATGTGTATTTGAGGGGGTGGCATGCATGGGAAGGTGGAAACACCAGTCCCTGCCTAAGACCAGTTCACATTTAGTTCTCCGTATCTCAGGTCTGTGCTTGCTGCGGCGATCAGAAAAGCAAACAGGAATTATGAGGAAAAATATGCAGGACAAGCTAGGAAAAGTTACAAAGCACCGTAAATCCACTGCATGCCTGCATCTTGCATACAGATGTGTTCTCGGAAAAAGGCGTACAGGGTAAGTCCAAAGGGAAGAGCAAGAAGGATGGCAAGAAGCACATGGTGAAATCAGAAACAGCACCGTGTTTCACCTTGGAACACAAACAACAAAAGGAAGCAGGAGGGAAATGTGCAAACATCACGGTTTTTAGGGAGGGCTTTGTAATGCATCACACCTGTACGACAAAAACCAGCGGAATACAGGCAGCTAGTAAAATCACGAGGAGCGTTCAGCGACGAGGACCCAAGTTTATGAACTAAGGAGGGAGCGGGACGCGCCGGGCAGGGCGGCATCGGCTGCAGCAAGGCCCCGC